TATTTAAATACGAAATAAATTTTAGTAGTTTAGTCAGCATTCGGGCGTAAGTAATTTACCTACGCCCAACAAAAACCGGATCTAAATATGCTATATCAATTAGCACCATTAATCTGCAAACACAAATTACCGTTGTATTTCTAATGAAGTCGTTAAAAATAGAATATAACCGGTAGCCGGTGGCAGGGTTGAATGTACAGGGTGCGTTATATAGGAATGTAGGTCTCACCATTTTTACAGGGTGTATAAAAACTAGCGGTTCCAACCACCTTTGTGCCAATTAGGTAAATGAGCAAATAAAAACTTTTTTGCTATGAAACCATCTGTTCTATAAATACACATAGATGTATGGGTGCGACATGTATTTTCCAGCAGTTTACGCTACTCGGGAATTTAACACGAGTCCTTTTAGTTCTAGTAACTTGACTAACCAGATAGTTAATAAAAAGTTCTTTAGGGCCTATTTTTCCCACGCAACGCTAGAAATTTTTTTATCAGAGGTAAATTCTTTCAATATTTGACAATTCTTCCATACTTTTTTTGTTTATTTTTTTAACGGGGAATAAACATCGAATGACTTTCCCGCCTGGGTGAGGCGAAAGGGAGTGTCAGACTCTTACTGACTAAAAACCACCCCGTTCCTTCTCCTGCACTTCGAGCCGGAGCCCCGGTAACCCGTTAGGTCCTCCGCGACTCCGAATCAGCATCAGCGATCTGATGGCTCTTTGAGGCGCGCGCGGAACGCGACTCGGTGTACGCTCGGGTAATTCTTCCATATTAAGGGCCGATTTTTCAATCATCAGTTAATTCTTAATACAATTAAGAATTTGGCAGTTTTTGGTATGGAAGAATTGTCAAATATTCAAAGTTACTCCTCTGTGAAAATTTATGTGGCGTTGGAAAAATTGCCGTAAATCTGTCAAATGTCAATTTTATTCTACAGTTAAGAATTAACTGATAATTAAAAAATCCGCCCTTATTAAGCTACAAGCTCTTAAAATGTGATCTCTAACCTGTTAAGTGAGGCGATTACGGCTTCTTCAGTCGCGGAGATCTATAGTCCAGCAATGAACTATCCCGACCTTTTGATGTCGATATTGGAGGTGGCCGTAAAATAAAAACTCAACTATACATTTCCATTACTTTGCAGTTCTAAAATCAAATGAAATAGCCAATCAGATCGATTCAAGAAACCAAGAAACCATCTCAAATAATTCCCGAATGTTCTCAACATATACCTGGTGAGGTGGAAGGTAAACAATGGCTTATGTTCGCACGGACTCTAGGGCTTCGGTAAAGACATTAAGAGCGACCTCGCCCGGCCACGGACAACGAGCATGCTTGCTCGCTTTGATTTCTCCGCTGCGAAGTCTAAGTATCCTTTTGAATGTCAATTATTGTAATTCTTTCGTACCTTGAGTTGGTTTGGGTGTAATTTTCGAACGTGTAAGATGCGTTTGTATTTTTGATATTGAAGTTATCGGTTTAGCGCAGTCTGAAGTTGTGTACGGAGTGGACATTTATTTCATGATTTATAATTTGCAAAAAGATAATTAAGTATGTGGTAGGTCTTTAACGACACAATCATACATTTCGGTGAGTGTGCAGCGGAATTGCACCAATTACTTGATGCCCCCTAGTCCTTTCCATCATCGTACCACAAGACAATCAATCGGCGAATGTCACTGATTCATGGTAGAAGTCTCACCCACACGCACGAAGCGCTTCGCATCAAGCTTCCTTGTGCGTAGTGCTAAGGAGTGGAATTGTATGCCAGAGTCTGTATTTCCTGAAGGGTATAACCTGGAAGTCTTCAAGGCCCGAGTGAATAGGTTGCTTATGGGACGACGTGCTCCATCGTAGACCGCATCATCGCTTACCACCAGGCGAGATTGTGGTCAAATATCGTATCACTAAAAATAAAAAACAGGTAAAACTTAATTTTTACGCTTCCAGTGATCTTTTCTTAAACACCGGATAGAATTTCAGAATGTATGTACAAGTAAGCTGTAAGTATGTATACAGAATGTGAAGAATAAAGAAGTAGATTCGATTATCAGCGTGGTGACGCCGCGTAGACGCCACGCGCACGGCCTTTCGTATATACGGCCATTAGCGAAATGGATTTCAGGAAGAAAATGTATGTTTTGTACTGTAATCTACAGCTGATGATAATGTTGTTGTTGTTTTAAGTATCATCAACAGCCTATAAATGCCCACTGCTGAGCAAAGCCTCTTCTCACATGGAGAGGTTAGAGCATTAATCACCACGCTTGCTCAATGCGGGTTGGCTATTACAAACTTATAATTAGAAATTATAAGCCCAGATTTCTTCACGCTGTTTTCCTTCACCGTTTGTCAGTGGTGTCTAAATAATCTTAGAAATTACATATAACTCGGAAAAAGTCACATTGGTACTTGCCGTTGGTAGGCGTCTTCAACCTCCGGGCCACCACGACACCCACTGTTTTAAGCATGATAAGAAATAAGATTAGTTAATACTTCTGTTTAGTCGAAGATTATATTTTAAATTAATTATTATGGAATGAAGGTAATCATGTGACAAAATGACCCGACAATAGTGAGACACAACATCAAGCTTTCAATCTCTATCGTGTTTCTTTTAACATTTCTGAGAGGCAGCGTAGTTTTTGAATAAATTCTTTAGTTGGTGTACTTTAAAGTCAAAATCAAAGTCAAAACATTTATTTCAATTAATCCTTGATTATAAATTGGTACTTTTGAAACGTCAAATTGAATTTTCAGTGGAGCTAGGTGCTCGTTCCAAAGTGTAGTTTCGAATGTAGAAGAACGAGCAAGAACTACTTATAGGAAACGACTAGTTTATAAAGCATGGGATTTGTTAGGCACGACTGGAAAGTGCCCTACCACACAGTCAAGAGAGGTCTTACTAGATCCTAGATCTTTAGTATCAGACCACCCTATTTATTAACATAACACCACATAACATCACGCCTTTTATCCCCGAAGGGGTAAGCAGAGGTGCAAATTGTACCACTGTACCTACAATGTAACACCCACTTTTCGGGGTGAGCCTATTGTCATATACCGGGCACAATTCCAGACTCCGTGCTACTACTGAGAATTTAACCCAGTAATACTTTGCCCGACTCGGGAATCGATCCCGAGACCCCTTGACCGGCAGTCGCACTTGCGACTACTAGGCCTATTTATTAAGTAACAATTTATACCTACTTTCGTTCGAAGCAAACTCATCAATACCCAACATATTTTTCGAAACACAAAGAAATGCCTTCAAAAAAGGTATAAGGCTTTACGATGCTCTTTATGGGCACATTTTTCTCCGGACGGCCATTAAACCATGCCTTCACAGAATATAACTAACAGCCGCCATATTGGGAACTGACGCATTATACTAGGAATTCCACGTCAGTAGCAGATTATCATAGATATGGAATCATTCTTGTAAATTACTTTTATTTCGTGACTAACTGGATCTTTGGTAGAGTGGTAGTGAGAGTGACTGTCGAGTAAGGCGTTCGGGTTCGATTCTTTGATTAGACATAATGTTATTGAGTCTGGATTTGTGCACAGTGTGGGGCCACACAGGCAAAGAAAAATGTATGATTTTTTGTGTTACCTATAGAGAATGCGGGATCTCTATAATGAACTGCATCATCATACGTTTCCTCTTAAAACGATACGCAGACCGTACATTACGTAAGAACATTGGGTAGAGGTACTCAAACAAACTTTATTCGAAATGGAATTAGTCTCTCAGTATAATATTCCCACTACTGGGACGTAGGCCTCGTAAGATCTGCCGTGAGCCACCCAAAGGAGCTAAAGAAGTTAACTTGATTTATCATTTACAGGTAACTTGAGTGAGACGTCTCACGGGACTCTTGTTAAAACTAGATAGATGGCGGTTGCCAGGACACGACGGAGTGGCTGGTTTTTGGGCACAAGTTTGGAAGCACTACGTGTTTATAGACCTCTTTAACAAGTAATTTCAATGAGCAATAAGTTCTGCTATATTGAAGGTAATACATATCCAGACTGATTTTACCAATACTGTTCCAAACCCCATGTGTACCCAGTAAGCTAATATTCCCTCACGTTAGCAAGGGATCTAAAGGGGCAATGAAGTTGGTACGGGAAAGTCTTGAACAAAGTCGCAGGTGAACCGCTAGTAATAAATGATTAATGAACAGCTACACTGTCACTCAACCCCTTGTACTCGCTCTCGTGAACACATTACATACGACACAACTGACATGACAACATTCATGCTCTTTCAGGCAAAAGCATTTAATTGACTTGCTCGTAATGGAAACAGCGGGTCGTTTCCGCCAACCTCATATATTGGAACCCAAACATTGGCTATCGAAGGTAGCGCTCGGAGTTTGGGTGATTCGATTATAGTCCCGGTGCGACCGCTCCGCCGCATTATTATGTAACATCCGCAATAATCCCGACCTGCCTGCCTCCTGTCTCAATTCATAGCTACTTCTGCAATTGAAAAATGACGCAAATTTATAAAGTAGCGTTTGTTTGCAGAGACAAGCACTACATGCGAGTATATCGCAAGCTTAATTGCCTGTCCTTCGGAACATGATCGATGAGAGTGCGGACGTGCAGTCGTGTCGTGCATATTGAGTGACAATTGATAGAGATGCATAAATTAAAGTTGAATGACTTCTCAATTGAAGTAAGTACCAGGCAGGACAGCTATAGTCATAATTATGCGCGGTGTGCAGTCGTCACTTGTGATCTGAGCTCGTGATGGCGACAGCTCCGGTGAGAGGCGTCAGTTTTAATTGGAATTAATAACCGATAAGTAATTCCGTGGTGGCGGCAGTGGCGAGGGTTTGTTTACCGGGGCGGGCGGGGCCGGGGCTGGCGGGCGGCGTCAGCTGGGTGCGCGCGCAGCGGTCGATAGCGGCAGCCGCGTCGCGCAGGCGCGCCGCTATCGAGCCCACACGGGCCGCCGCCGTCGCCGGCCGCGAACGTGATGCATGCGGGCACCTAACGGCTGCACGCGCGCGGGCCTCATGGGCACCGTGCTGAGCTTCAGCCCGCGCGAGCGGCGCCCGCCCGCCGCCGCGCCGCCGCCAGACCGCGCCGCGCTCGCATACTCGTACGAGCGCCTCAACAACGCCAAGAACCGCGAGAACCGAGAGGTGCCGCGCGACGAGCGCCGCGCTACCCTGGACGACGCCGCCAAGATTATATCGGAGAAAACAGCGCTCGAGAAGAACCTCAAGAAGCACTCGTTATTTATAAACGCGCTCTCGTGGAAGCGATTCTCTACGGCGAACAACAACAAGAAGAAACTGGAATGCAAGAGCAAGAGTGTAGCGACGTTCCGGGCGCCGCTGACGGACAATGCGCCGCTGGACCGCAACAAGAATGTGAGCGTGCAGGGCGTGTACCCGCGGCCAGTGCCCGCGCCCGCGCCGCCGCCAGACGTCGCACGGGCCAACGCGCTCAACAACAACGTGGTATGCTACGACAAGCTGAGCAGCTCCGGCCCGCCCGTGGTGGTGCCGCGCAAGACTGTCATCCAGGCCTCCACCTCGGAGCTCCTCAAGTGCCTGGGCCTGTTCCTGCACACGCGCTGTCACCGCCTCCGCGACTTCCAAGCTGGGGACGCCGTCATGTGGCTGCGGACTGTGGACCGCTCGCTGCTGCTGCAAGGATGGCAGGTAAACATAACGCAGCACTCTATCAACACAGGGTCCACAACACGGCGCAGATGGCAGCACTTGTCACAACACAGACGACACTAGCAATGGCCGTCGTTGTAGGCAACAACTGCGATTCGCACAACAATAATTCTCAGCCAGTTTGAGAAATTGGAAGAAAATCAATGATGGTTTTGTGCTAACGCTCAAAATGCATCGTTTTGGTTCAGACATTTGAATGTACACTAACAATTTTATTGTTTTCAATGAATATTGTTTTCGTTTCGTTGGTTGCTTGTTGTACTGTACATAGTGGTCTGTCCATGACACGCTTGCGCTGACCCTGATGGCTTCCTGTTAGTTCCCATGTTTAATCCCTCGTGCACTTTACTTATGTCGTACAGCTACTGTATCTGACAATATTGAAATGCAAAAAGATCTGAGAGACATTTAGTCCGTGTTTCCCGAATTTTACTTCATATTTCGTCAAATACGCAAAATATGTCGTATAATATTAAAGCCAGGCCTAAGCTATTCAGGCTCAATTCATGTCGACCTTCATTTTAGGCAGAACATTCTAACGCACATACATTTTTAAACAAAGGTAATTACAGTTCTAGGTAGGCAGCTTAAATATCAAGGTTACAAACCCACGTAAACGGGCATTAGAAAAACATGAAGCTTTTCAATTTACTTTTCCTCCTGAAAAATTAATTGGAGTATCAATTATTAGTAATCAACTATTCTGACGCCATTCGATGAACACATCGCTATAAAAAACCATTTATAATTTTCCTAAGCTACGGAAAAGTTAATCAAGAGGTCTTTTTTCATTATTCAAGCATTACTTATGCTCTAACGATGCAAGCACCACCATTTTCTCTGAGAACGTGAGCAATTTATCTATGCAAGCGTTCCGTAAGTCCGTGTTCCGTTCTACGCAATATGCTAAAAGCCGCATCTAATATTCAACGGTGCTCAGCAAAACATCGCAGTACACTTTATCAAGTGGTCCGAATCATACACAAACATTCGTGGGCCGTTGCTTCATTCAACATAAATAGGGGACCGAAGCGTACGTCAGAAGGAAAATCGATAGGACGTTATGCCATCAAGAATTTTATACCCCGTGCGCCTTTCTATAACGATTTCGGCTTTGTTTAGAGTGAGACAGCGTTATCCATTGAGTATCGCCGTGTTGCTCTGTTCACCGCTGTCGAGGGATTTTGAATTTGGAGTTTGTGCAATAAGATGTTGTGACGTAATAGACAATTATATTATTTTTAGTTTAAGTTTTGTAAAGCTTCGTTGCTTTCGACATTTATATACTGTGGTATTGTTTGACATTTCCACAAAGGGAGTCAGTTATCTTTTTGTTTTTGTTTACATGGAATCAGCAAGGGGCGTTGACATTTTATACGCAGGGTTTTTGTAATAAACAGTAAAAGGAATGACCACAACGCTGCAGTTAAATTAAAATCGACATTCATGAGTAATTGTTGTATTTCATGGTGAAAGGGTTTACACAGGCCATCAATAAAAGCCGTCGTTGGTATGTAGCGGCCATGTTGGCTTTCCCCGAAGAGGTGGATTTAATGGCCGCTGTGCATACACAAAGTACTGCAATCATAGAAAACAATATTTAATGTTTTATTTTATTGGTCTTTTAGAACCAACCTTTTCGGAATACACAATATTTTCATTAAAAACTTTTCTTGTTTTAATGATAATATTGTTTTCTTTATAAACATTTTTAATTGATACTAGTATTACAAAATCTCAAAAACGATTAAGTAATTAATGTTCTCGTATTATTTAGTACTAATTATAATCTAAATCAGCAAAACAAGAACTAAAATTAAGAGGGAGACGAACATAACCTACATAAGAACGGGTAATGCAAAGACCTACCTAAGTACCTAGATAATAAGGGTAGTTTGGAACCCACCAACCGCCGTATAAGTTATTACGGTACTCATTAGTCCATTGTAATCAAGGGTGAGCCATCTACATAACGAGTTTAGGGTTGTTACCAATTATTTCAAGTTGGAAATCAGTTTCGGATATAAAAAGTAAGGAAAAGACCAATTTTTTTTTACTTTTTTTACTTTTTTTAAACGATTTACATACCTACATTATGTTCCAATCGTATAAACCAATGTATGGTGTATACATCCATATTCTATCCAAGTAAATAAAATGGAATCGTTGATATTCGAATATATTTTGTGTACCTACGAAGCTATGAGACTTTTGAACGATGGCAGTTTGTAGTAAACTTGATAATAAAGATTATTCGTAAAATAATATTAAAAGAATAAGTACTCAAAATCTTCTTTCTCTTAAAAACTCAGAGAAGCCTTTAGGTGGGAAACTATAGCGTAGCACAGGGTTTCCCAAACTATGGGTCGCGACCCATTGGTGGGTCGCAAGTGAAATTTTAGTGCTTGTCTGTATAATGACACGCTAACCAACCATTCTATATTTTACTTTTCCTATTGGTAACAGTTTCATTTCCTAAAAGTGGATCCATAGAGTCTGCTACCCTCCATGGGAGACCGCCATGATGTTATGTATATATGGGTCCTGAGGTTTGTAACTTGATTTAAATAGGTCGTAGTTTCTACAAGTTTGGGAACCACTGGCGTAGCATATAATATGAAAATGCCTGCTATATGTTACTGCAACATACTTTCGAACATTTTCGCGAAACAAAACACTTGGAATTTATTGCGAGGAGTATTGTATTACATCCACATTATGATGGATTTGTTCGTCTCCACTACTCAGAAAAGAATATATATAATACGCTAACGGGTTACCGGGGCTCCGGCTCGACGTGCAGGAGAAGGAACGGGGTAGTTTTTAGTCAGTAAGAGTCTGACACTCCCACCCGCCTCACCCAGGCGGGAGCAGACATTCAATGATTTTCCCCTCTTAAAAAAAATCCTACTAATAAGATTATAAATGTGATAATTTTTATGTGTGTTTGTTACTCTTTGAGATTAAAACGACTGAAGGTATCGGAATGAAATCTTTAGCATAAGATTATAATCTGGAATAATGCGTAGGCTACTTTTAATCCACGGAAACCCGATCGAAGCCGCCGGCAGAAGGTAGTTAGCTAATATCTATATATACTTCTATAAAAGAAAGTCGTGTTACACCACTTATAACTCAAGAACGGCAGAACAGATTTGGCTGAAAATTGGTAGGGAGGTAGCTTAGAGCCAGGAGACCGACATAGGATACTTTTTAACCGACATTTTTTTTTACTTTTTACCGAAAATCACGAACGGGGACGGGAAAAAATGGGATTACGCGTACGAAGTCGCGGGCAGAAGCTAGTAACTTTATAAGACCACATTTGGTTTCCTCACCCAATCATCAGCGTCTTGTAGTGAGTTTGTAGATGTTTAACACAAAAAACATGCAGCTAAAATCGATATTAATAACTCTAGTCTAACAATACATGTGAGATTGCGATCGCGTGCTAGTTATGTACCTACTCAAGTTCTATAGATGGCAACCGGTAATAAGTCGATTGTACCTCTAGGTATTGTCATGTCGACTGGTGAGCTTATAAAATGTGTCTCTGTTGTGAACGAGAAGCAAAATCTTATATATTACCTCTATATATATAAAAGAAAGTCGTGTTAGTTACACCACTTATAACTCAAGAACGGCAGAATAAATTTGGCTGAAAATTGGTAGGGAGGTAGGTTAGAGCCAGGAGACCGACATAGAATACTTTTTAACCAAAATTTTTTTTTTACTTTTTAATGAAAATGAAAATTCCGGGAAAAAATGGGATGGTACGCGTACGAAGTCGCGGGCAGAAGCTAGTTCTGATATAAAGAATTCTAGACTATTTGACAAGTAAAAAAGGTTATAGTTTTTTGAAATATTTTCAAAATATTTTTTTTTATTGCAATAAAACCTTTTAACTCAGGATTCTTTATACCAATTTTGAGTTAGCTACTAACATTATTTATAAGTGTCTTTATTTACTTAAATCAAATTTAAGTCTTATTAATCTTATTGACTGTACGATAGCGATTTCGATTCCCGCACGGAACTCTTTGTGAGATCCACATATTGTTGTTTCGGATCTGAGTGAAAGTGTATGTCAGTAAACGCACCTACGACACAGAAAATGTATAAACTATAAAGACTATATATATAAGATATAAATATCAAGCTTAAAATAGCTTCACTTTTAATTTTCTTTTTGTTGACGTTCAAAAGTGCCATTCTGGCCTAATTGAAATAAATGATTTTGACTTGACTTTTGACTTTTTTTAAGCATACATTGCATGCTTGTCTGTCATATTCTTCCGTTCTAATACTACTTTACAGACATACAGACAGACGTTGTACGCTTGTCTGTAAAGTAGTTAAGGACTTAAGTAGTTACGGATTCTTTTGTATTCAATACAAACATTTTTTTAGACACTCATTAATACTTATTATCATTCAGTTGTATGATACATCCCAACGCCATGCGCACAATTTTGTAAAAATTAAAAAAAATATAATTTACCTCGTGACCTACATCAAGTTTCACGGCCCAAAATTTCCCAATGGATTAAAAAGTATTAAGGTTAACATTGTCCATTATGGACGCAATAAAAACTTATATTCATGTGGCAATGGAATTAGGAATATTGCTATCAAAAGGTTTATTATAATGATAATAACTGGTTTAATCTCTGTTATGTGTCTAATTTCTAATGTTTACCGTCTTACTTGTGTTCCATAGACTAAATATAAACACAAACATATCTGATTACTGTTAGAACACAAGAACAAACATACAATATTATGTATAAGTGTGGGAGAGCCATGCTTCAGTACAAATGGGCCGGCTCGACCGGAGTCATACCACGGCCTCACGGAAAACTAACGTGAAACAATGCTTGCGTTGTCTTTCGTCATGTGAGTGAGGTTATCGGAGACCCAATTACCCCCGCCCCCTCTTGTTCCTATCTCCCTAATCCCTGAATCCCAAGAATCCTCAA